GAGGAGGTGGCCAGGAGCCGGTGACCACAGGGCTGGCATGGCCAGGGGAGCGAGAACAAGAACTGCCTGTCCCCTCCGTCCCTGCCAAGGCACGCGGCCTCATGTTACGGCACCGGCCCTTCCGCGAGCCAGGAAAAAGCACAGCAACCGTTTGGCCACGTTTCAGGCTTGTCTGTGGGCCAAGGGCGTAACGTGAAGGTTCCCCAGCGCAGGGATCCCTAGGGATCAAGTCAGGCGCTCTGCCAGCCGGCGCCTTACTTTCATGACTGAGCTGTGGGAGGGTAGCTCCGGGGAGCGGAGGGAGGGACGCCGTGCTTCCTCAGGGTGACCTCTCGGCACTGGTGGAAGAGCAATAGGAACCTGCTGGGGTCGGGCACTTTAGCAGACAACGAGCTGTGCATCCGTTCGGCCGCATCCGTCGGTCCCAGCACCGGAAAGCCTGCGTCCCTGCATCGCCTTCTGGAAAGCATCGCGTGGGTTGGACTGAAGGCTTCGGTGAAACATCGGCTTAAGTGACACTTCTTAAAAAGAATTTGCAGTAATAGTCTTGAGAACATAAAAAAATGGAAGTCGCTTGAGAGATATTCATTTTTTCAGCTCTCTTGTTTCAGTCAGAGCAATGAGACTTAATGTCAAATGCAGTGCAAAGCAGTTGGACCGTACAGAGGGACCTGTGTTCCAGCTGAACCAAAAGCCTCGGCTTTTCAGAGGCGTTTGTGAAAATTTTCAAGATGTTGCCTTGCTTTGTCCTGATTCAGGCCACCTGAATCACTCTTTTATCTTCATTCTCAAAATTTAATAGGGCAGAAAATCTGTTTTTCAGCTAGCGCTGCAAATTCCAGCTGTGCTGAACGCTATCCAGAGTTACTTGAGAGCTGTTTGCTGAAAAGCCTATTTATTCCCCGGGATTAATTCCTAAGTTCTTCAGAAATTTTGAAAGAAGGAGAAGGAATGGCCTTTGCACAGGTTCAGAGGTGTGAGCAGCCCCGACCGAAGCACCGCTGGTGTATCTGAGGAGCTGGTGCCTGCGGACCGCGGCCGACCAAGCCCTCAGCGGCCGAGAGTTACTTGAGAGCTGTTTGCTGAAAAGCCTATTTATTCCCCGGGATTAATTCCTAAGTTCTTCAGAAATTTTGAAAGAAGGAGAAGGAATGGCCTTTGCACAGGTTCAGAGGTGTGAGCAGCCCCGACCGAAGCACCGCTGGTGTATCTGAGGAGCTGGTGCCTGCGGACCGCGGCCGACCAAGCCCTCAGCGGCCGTGAGTCCCTGCAGCGCTGTGGGCCTCAGCCCAGGAACCGGGGGGGCTGGCAGAGCTCAGACCGGTGTTCCCAGCTTCCCCGTGTGATCTCCCGCGCTCCTGAGCAACCTCGGAACAGGGAACAGCCTTAAGGAGAC